TTTCCTGATGAATTGCATGCTTTTTATATTAAGAATCCTTTTCATGTCTAATATATTTTTTTATGAAATAAGATCTTGTTATATAGCTCAATCTAGTCTAAAATCCACTATGGATGTATTGACTATGTTATTTATTTGTTTTTAATGTTTTTACCCTTTTTTTAGAGAACACATAGAAATTGCTGGATTTTTTAATGCAATCTAAGAAACTCTGCCTTTTACTTTAGAGTATTAGTCCATTTATATTTAATTTAATCATTGATCTGATTCAGTAGACCTTGTTTAATATTGTCTCTTATTTTTGATTTGTAGTAGTTTGTCATTGATGTTCCTATATGTTTTTTAATCCATTCTGCTTGTAGTTCAATGACTATTTTGTCCATGTTGATGATTTCAGATGTGACCTCAGATCATTTAAAAATATATCTCACTATCCAGAATGGAGTAACAGGTCAATACATAATTATAGCAGAGGCTATTGAGTGTGGCTATTATTTTGTGTAGCTATTTGAGCTGAAGTTTTGTAATGTAGGAAGTAGGGAGATGGATACAGGTTAAGTTGCATCCAATAACTGAGGCTTTAAGACAGATACTAGCACTCATTTATTCTTATAACTTCGTTTTTTTTGCTGTAACCTGGGATGGTTGAACAGTACAACAGAATTTTGGCTTGAGAATCCTGGGTCAGATATGGCTCTGTCTTTTTCTAACTGTGTGCCTTTGGGCAAAGTTCTTGATCTTCCTGTGTCTACTTTATCATTTAAAGTGAAGAAATAATAGTACACATGGGGCTTATGAGTTCTAATCATACATTATTTATATATATCCAATCATGATACATGATAGTATATATATATATATATATATATACACTATCATGATTGGATATATATATATATATATATATATATATATATATATATATATATTTGAGTCAATATAATAAAAGCCTTAGAACAGAGCATGCACTTCTAAATACTTGCACGAACAAGCACGGTTTCAACAGACTGCTGTTGAGCTTGGGGAGAGATGTCCTTCTGAGCAATTCTTGTACCTCATCCCACAGCTGTTACCCCAAGAGCTCACCCACTTTGCCTTGCAGGGTGGCCCAATAACTGCATGTGTTTAAAGAGCTGTGTGTGAGCACCTCCTGATTCCAGAAAACATCCTTAGCCATGTTTAGGAATGTGGCCCTGGGGGACTCTGGTCAAATGTGAAATTTGATTATGTTCCAGAGATTGCCTAACAGGCCAGCTTCCTTCCTGTTTTTCTACACTCACTCTCTGAGTATACATACAAAGTGTAAGACTCACAGCTTAAAGGAATTTGAATCCAACATTTATTGGGTACCACCCATCATTTTGCAGGTAAGGAAATAGAACCCAAATTGATAAAATACTCTGTCCTAGGTCAGACAGCTTATAAGGAGGTTAATTTTTATTCATTTATTTGGCTTTCCATTTCTGGTGTTACAAAACCCTGTCCCTGTTCTCCTAGGAAGGTCATGTGTGGGGCAGCTGAGGAAGAAGTGAGTCATTTACAAAAGGATGTCACATGAATAAGATAACAATGGCTTGAGCAATAGAAAGAAATGCAGAGTTTGCTAGTTAAAGTCAGAGAACTTTCAAAATCTGGCACAGCTTTCTCTTCTTCCTTTTGTTCCTAAATGCTTCAGCTGTCCAGCAACCCAGCCGAACTGAAAACCCTGACTGCAAAACCTCTTCTTTTGTTTCCCATTGCGGTCCATACCAATGCCATCCACATGGTCTCTGGCAGCCATACACTAACTGTTAGCCAACAGTATTTGAGAGTTACTATGCTTGCATCTAAGATCCACAATAAATCCAAACAGCAGATATGAAAATGAGCCAGAGGGATTCAGTTCTGCGTCACAGGTTAGTGGCAGAGGTGGTAATTGAACCCGGTTCATTTTGCCTTCATTTTGAGTTGACTTTTGGAGATAATGGGTCAGTTTCAGTCCTCTGTGAGTAGCTATCCAGTTTTGTCAGCAGTGTTTATCCTGCTCAGGGATGTTCTGATTTTCACCGAGAATCAGTTAGCTGTAGGTTTGTGGTTTTGTTTTTAGAGTTCCTCCTGAGTTTTGTTGGACTGTGCTTCCAAGTGCCATGCTGCTTTGGGTACCGTGGTTTTGTTGTGTTTCAGTAAGTCAGATGCTGTATCACATCCAGCTTTGTTCATCAGGTTTGAGATAGTTTTGGCTACTTGGGGTCTTTTGTGCTTCCACCTGAATTTTAGTGTTTGGTGTTGGTGTTGGTGTTCTGTGACTGCCATCGGTATTTGGAGGGGACTGCACTGGCCTGTAGTCACATTGGGTAGCACAGGTATGTTAACAACGTTTGTTATTCCAGTCCGTAAAATGGGAGGTTTTTCTAACTTTGGGTGTCTTTAAATACCAGCAGTGTTGCATGATTTTCTTTTCTTTTCTTTTTTTTTTTTGCATGATTTTCTTTTGCTTAAATTTTTTTTCATGCAATGTATATCTTATTTTCCCCGTCCCAACCCTCCCAGGTTATTCCATGTTCCCTATCCATCCAACTGCATGTCCTTTCTCTCTCTTGAAAATACCAAAACCAAAGCAACAAAAGCACAAACAGTCAAAAACGTGGCATTCATTTTGTGTTGTCAGCTCCTCCCGAGCCTCAGCCCCGTTTGCCTTGGGGTCTCTTTGACGCCCAGTGACAGATCTTCCCCCGGGCAGCTGCTGCTTGGTTGGGGTGGCACTTGTGTCCACGTCCCTTAGTGCTAGGATTTTATCTCGCTGGAACCTGTGCAGGTCATGAACATGCTGCCATAGTCCTTGTGAGTTCCCACGAGCCTCAGCCCCAATGTGTCTGGGAGGTGCTGTGGCTCTCACCAACGCATCATTCAGTCATTTGGAGGAAAAGCTCCGAGAGCCTCTGTCTGGCTGATACAACTTGTGGGTTGACTTGGTCAGGTAATCTCCCAAACCTGTCTCCTTAGATTAAGAAAATAAGAATTACTTTATCAGTGCCCACACACAGGGCCAAGTTATATCTTTAATAATTCAAATGGCCATAGTGCATTTTTTAGACCAAAACTGGGAGAATTAATTTTGCTCTAAAATTAAGATATTACTAGATAGTTTTATTTTTTCAAATGGATTGTTAAGTAAGGATACTTTACAGTGCTGCCATGTGTTGCTAAGTTTTGAAATATCTTCTTTTTAGCAGAGTAGAATGGAACACATGAAAGATAGAAAAATATTCCACACAAGGGGACTCTTCAGAGAATTCAAGCATTATGTAAATTGATTGTATGTTACATCATTAGTTTGATTTCTAAAATTTAAAAGCCAGAAGTAGTTTATAAAATGTTGAATGTCACTTAATTTCTTTTTCTATATCTACTCAGAATGATTCCGAGCCAATTATACCCACTTATGAGTGGCGCTTCAGATAATTAAATCTGGAGTTATTATTGTTCATTTTTATAGATTCACTATATTCTTAACAATGACTATAGAAGTTGTCACTAAGGAATTATGTGTATATATAAGTAAATATAAACAAAACATAGATAAGAAAAGTGGAATGTCACAGGAAAAGCATGCATGAGTAACATGGCTTAATTTAATTTCTAAAACTTAAATATTTATTCAATTTTCAAATTATTCAAATTACTCGTGAAGTACAAAGACGCTTAGGGTTGTGTCAGTGCTGAATACATACTCGTGGGTGGCTGAAGAGATGTGCCCACACTTACATGTATATGTAAGTTTTTAGCCTGAGAAATGCCAAATTCTGTATACAGAAAACAATAAAAAACTCTTATCTGATTTTCTCATTTAAAATTAAAATACATAACAGCTTTACATAATATTATATCATAAAGCATGCTTGCATGCATAATTTCTAGATTATAATTCGTTCTTCTCAGCTGCTCAATTCAGCATTTTCAGGAAATCCATGCAGGTGTACAGCTGTCGGCCTGGACCACTTTTGAACATTTCCTTCAACCTGGTGGACCATCCATGTCTGCTGTCCCCGGCCTCTCTTCGTACGCCAGGAACAGGCCCCACATATCTAAATCCTATATTTTCATGGGTTCTTTTCCTAGACATCTCTATGTAGTGGCACGAAAAGACATGTGGTCTTCTGAATCTGCCCTTGTTCTTAGTGTCGTGCTTGGGTGACTCACTCATCCTGTGGCATGCAATGGTGCTCAGCCACTATTTTCCAAATGGCATTGCGCTGGAAGACTGGATGGGACCACATCACCAGAATCAATCTTTAAAATGTTTTTATACATATATGTTACATCTTTTGGGTTGAAACATCAGAATACATTTATTAAAAACGCCGACTTGTACATTTTGGGAGAACAGATTATAATCCAGATATTCTGTACTTAAATGGGATATGTGTTTTCAGGAAATTGTATAAAGACCAATGATAAGGATGGGCGAGATGTCATCATCATTATTTTACACGGGTTTTTCTCTTTTACCTTAGCGTTACATCTTATACTTTCAGGTAATCACTGTCTACATAGACACATGCCACGAGCATGTAGACCACACACATGCTGTACGTCCAAGCAGTCATATGTTTTGTGTTTCAACAAGCATAAAATCACAGCATTTGATATTTTGACCTAGGGTTGCCAAGTCTAAGATAAATGCTATTACAGGTCTCAGTGGGCTGGGACATCTGAATCGGTTAATTGTATGCAAACATGTTTTAATTTTTTAAATTTTTATGCTTTGAGACAGGGTCTCATCTATCCTATGTGTCCCCAAACTTTCTATATCCCCGAGGGTGGCATTGAACTGCTGAAGCCCTGGCCTCTGCTTCCCTAGTGCTGGGATTCCGGGGCTTGTGCCACCATGTTGGTTTATGCAGTGCTGGGGAGTGAACCCAGGGCTTAGTCTCTGCTGGGCAGCTTACTCCTCCCAACGAGCTACATCTCCAGCGCAGTTTTGAAAAATTGAAAGCCGCCTCATGCCTTCTTTCCTGCAGGGTACTTCGGCCCCGCTTGCGAAGAGAAGGTGGACCCCTGCGTGTCGTCTCCGTGCCAGAACAACGGCACCTGCTACGTGGACGGAGTACACTTCACCTGCAGCTGCAGCCCTGGCTTCACAGGGCCCGCGTGTGCCCAGCTCGTGGACTTCTGCGCCCTCAGCCCGTGTGCCCACGGCATCTGCCGCAGCCTGGGCACCAGCTACAAGTGCCTCTGTGATCCAGGTGGGTCCTGCATGTAGACAGCAAAGCCTTTCCTGGAAGGCCCTGTCAGCTTGTGCTTGCGTGTGAGCCAAGTGTGTATCAATCACACCACAGAATGTGATATTCACAGAAGTGAATTCCACTCTTCAGTGCACATCTACTCTTCAGACTCACTTTTGGTAGAGCCTTAAACAGGCCTTTTCTTTTAGTCACAGGCCATTCATGTTCATTGTGAGGAAGTTAGAAAGCAGAATGATGACATTTAAACTGGCCTGAATCTTCTAAGACAATTTTAGTGTCCAGGGCAAGCACAATGCAGTCCTTTTATCACTGCACTGTCGATTGAAATTCTTACCCCGTGAGCAGCGTGCTACCCCCGACTTCCCCTGTAAACATTCAATAGCTTCGTCATTCATTTTCCAAAAAATCCTTTGCATTCATGTTACTGATACTTAGATTGTGGAAGTTTCGAAGTAAGAGTGATGACTGGTTCTCGTCTGTGTCTTTCCAGTCTACCAGTGTGTCTGAAAAGAGCGTGTGGGTAGGTAGCTCTTTCCTTCCCTCATTTCCATGAGCTAAATCTTCACATTACTTCCCAGCACATGAAGTAATTAAGTCCCTGACCGGTCACTGTGGCTAGCCAGTACCTGCTTTCACTGACCCCTGGCTGTGCTCTCCTCCTGGGTTGCCTGCTCTCTCTTACTCCATCTCTCTTCAGGGACTGAGTTTGTTTCTCTGAGTCCCATCATCTTTACAGTGTGACACAGTCACAGACCTCGGAGAGATCTTTTGTTACAACATGCTGCACATACATAGCTGGTCCACAGGGTTGACAAGCCTCTGGACCTCCTCGCCATCTGAGCACGTGTGGAACATTCTCAGTGATGCTTGCACAAAGATGAAATCACCCGGGGATGCACTGTGGCAGGATATGCTGATGATTGTGGTAGGTGGTACTCTACCCCAAGGAGTGAGAGAAAGGTATATAAATATGTTTCAATGATTTGAATCAGCAGTTGTACTCCTGAGCCATTGCTGACTGCAGTCTTCCTAGGTTCTTAGCTAGATATGTCACACATTTGGCCCCTCCTTTCAGGGCTACGTTTACCTGGAAAGCCTCTGGAGACTCACTCTTTACTTGTGACCTTGTACTCATTAGAGAGCCTCAGCCTAGATTCCAACCTCCATGCTTCTGGCTCTATGGCCTCAGCGCCAGGCTCAGAACTTCCAAAGGCCACATTTCATACTCACAAATCAATTAAGAGTTAACAGGAAATGCAGCCAAGCTTTTGAAAGGTGATGCAAAGCTTTCTGCACATAGACTCTTAATTCTCCGGTTTTCTAAGCAGCTGATATTTTGCCAAGTTCTTCTTTCTTCCATGTTCTGCAATACAGAGGAGGGGCTGTTTAATCTGCTTGGTAACAGTGTTAGGATTCTCCAGAGAAGCAGAAGAGACACACACAGTGGTTTATTTTAAGTAACTGGCTCATGCAATTGTGGGGACTGGCAAGTCCAAAATTCGTAGGGAAAGCTGGCAGGCTGCAAGCCCAGGCATGATGTCTGAGTTGTGCTTTGAAGCTAAAATCTTTTTTTTTGCAAGAACCTGAGTCTTTGCTTTTAAGGCATCCAAGAGCTGGTATGAGTCTTGGCCATATTATACAATCATCTGCTCTACTCAGAGACTGCTGATATCAATCTTAATACCATCTCAGAGAAGAATGCTTTTGGGTCTTATGTATATAGAGAAAATATCTGGATCCATCATCTAGGTAGCTAGACAGGTGCAATTAACGATCACAGTAATATGTGGGGATTACTTGTAAACCTTGAAGGGAAGTATCCTCAATTCCGTGTGTGATGCCCCTGTCTTCTCAGGGTCTGCATCATCTTTCTCTGCTTGAATTTTGGTTGACCTGCCTCTCCTGGTGGGCCTGGTTTTCTTGTGTGGGAACTCAAGCCCATGTGTGGCAGAGCTGCATTCTGGGGAAGGAGGCAGAGCAGGGATGTACGATTCCCTACCTGGAAAGCACATCCTTAGGACAGCGTGGTGTGAGCAGACTGAACAAGGTGCCATTATGCTGGATGGAACCAGGTCTCACGCATGACACGAATAGGGCTCTCTGTGCCCAAACACTCTAGAGATGTCATGGCACCTGTGGGGTGGTTCTCCTCAGTGGCAACTGGGAATGAAAGATTGCTGTCAGGAACTTCCCCATAGACTGTTTCCTGCCTCTGAGAGCCTTCTTTTCCTATAAGCCTCAGAGAGAATACTCAAGCAGGACAGACCAGAAAACAACCTCATTTTCTGCTCTGAATTCTTTTCTTTCGTAAGCATATTTAAAATCTGTGGCATATTTAATATTTTTAATTTTTTTCAAGTAGAACATAGTTATTTGAAAATAAATTTTCTGACTGTCTTTGGGTCTGTCTGTCTGTCTGCATGTGTATTGTTATCCTAAGCAGAGACATCATTACTCACTGTTTCTCTTTCTACTCTGAGAGAGGCAGTTGGCAGCAGTAGAAAGACCATGCCTTCCCCATCTATCCATTATGAACATGAAACTTGTATAGAGTATTCCTGGGCCTCAATTTCCTACTTGGGGAAGTCCTCCCTTGAGGGAGGGCTTCGGTGTAGTCCCTCTGTTGGTTTCGTGTTGAGCTACCCTTTCAACCCTATCAAGGAATCTTCAGTTAGCATCTTTTGAGATATCTCCCAGTTATAATTACTTTCCCTTCTGTTGTCTGTTCCAGCCTCTTCCATGTCCACTTGAAACATTTAGATTGGTAGTTGCCTGTGGGTGTGCACAATTCCTGAATGCCTTTGAAGCCCACAGAAAATGCATCTTCTGTTCCATAATACTTTCATTTGTTATGCCGCCTCCAGTGGGGTCCTGGAATCCCATGAGGGCTTGCTCATCAAATTTGGGACACCCGGTTGCCTCCAGGGGGAATACTCTCTCAGGTGGTTGGGTGACTTCATGGGAAATGACTTTATGTGACTTTATATGCCTTGAGACAGCTGGCAGGAATTTACATTTTTAAGAAGTGAACATGACAGGTCTGTGAATGGGAAATTTCTTGTCTTAATTTTTTTTTTTTTTGCAGTATGTAATTGCTTTACCACTCATTTGCATAATAGTTGAATCTTGTAAGAATGGATGAAATTGGGTGTCTGGCTGCAGAGTGGTGGGCTGGATCATCTTTACAGAGAGCAAACAGATCCTGTTTTGTAAATGGCAGCAGATTGAAATCATGCTAGATTGGCAATTAGTTCTCATCTGAAAAAATAAAAAATAAAAAGCACATGCCATTCTGATCACTGCAAATCACATGTGTCAGGGGTTTTATTTCCAAGCCTCAGTTTTGGCTTACTGTTTCCTGATGGCGTTTTAATACTAAAGAATAAAATGTCACCACTGAGTAATTGCTGAAATGTCAACTTCCAGTGACAGTTTTAAGTGACAGGCCACTCATTCTTTAAAACATTGCAAACTGAAATCTCGCAGAGGCTGGAGAAGTCAGGTCTGGGTAATGCTGCCTACATTCGGTGGGAACGTGTCGAGGGCACACCCTGGCGCTTGCTGGTGGTGACACGACTTCTTGTGACTCTGGTGGAACGGTGGCATCTTTTAGATGCTGTTTTAGAAAGTCATTGCTGCCGATGACCAGTACCAGAGCTGTGGCTGACTGGAAAAAGACGGGGTTCAGCTCTCTTTGTCTGGTTTGGGGCCCTAATACATTTGAGTGAGGACTGTCCACTTGCTCGCTTGTTGGCCTCACCTCTGCAGGTGGATCTATCTTAAAGAACAGAAGGCACAATGCATTGGAGTAGTTTGCATGCAGATTATGTGTCACATTTAAATTTTATGAATAGTATCTCTCACGACCATCAATGCAATGCCAGTCAATTGGGCCCCTCGACCTGGACTGAGTGTTGGCCACCTTTCCCAGCCAATTCTTCTCTACTGTGGGGCGACTGATTCAGTGATGTCATCCAGATGCAGACTGCAAAGGAAAGAAAATCAGGCTCCTTCCAAACAAAATGCCTTTGCTATTGTCTTAATAAAAAATCATACTCCTAGGACTCGGATACTGTTTCCCCCTATTTTCTACATTTGCCCCACTCGTAGGCTGCATTTCTGTTCTGTGTAGCCTGTGAGACACAGCTGGTCTCACTTTCTACTGTGATACTCAGGGATGCCTACATCAGTATTCCAATAGCACTGCCTGGAAACAGGATAAAGATAAGACTTAATTACTGGTTATTCATAGTAATTGAGCGGCAGCCAGGAAACCAACACACCTATAAAGATAGGACAGCGTTTAGCTCCCTAATGAGAGTCTGGATGCTCTCAAATTCTGGGATAAGGACAGTGGACAGCTTTCATCTTTATTAACCCCGGAGCTTCCTCCGGGTTCCTGGGACGAAGACAGGAATTCTTTCTCAATACATTCTTGTATTGGCATGCTGTGATCTGCTTCAGCTCCTTGTTCATGAGAGGTGTAGACCGTGTGGGTATATAGCTCAGGCTCCCAATCCTGGGATACACTGCCTATTTCATACTCCAAAATATGGTGCCTGTTTTTTGTGTTGTTGTTGTTGTTGTTGTTGTTGTTGTTGTTGTTGTTGTTGTTCTTCTTCTTCTTCTTCTTCTTCTTCTTCTTCTTCTTCTTCTTCTTTTCTTTTACCATCTGGTCTCAAAGAGGAAGAAAGAGAAGAAGTCCTGTTTACTCAGAAGGAGCTTCCCCCGTGGGGACCTGCCTCATTCCTCAGAATCTGTACTCTGCAAACAAAACAAACCCAAACACCCACAAATAAACAAAAACAGCTTAAATCTCCTCTTGGAAATGCTGATGGAACTAAGAACTGGGGAAGACATGAACAGCCACTGACATCCATAACTTGCCTGTCATTTACAGATAGATTGCTGGAGTTGTTAGGAGCGGGCCTAGTGCCCATGCATGAAGCCCTATTTTCCTCTGTTGGACGTTAGGATCAGTGTGATGATATTAGGCATAA